TTTTCACTGTAGAGAAAAGGGATTTTTTTTAAATGAGAAAATTTGTCTATGCTGTAGGTCAATTTACTTGTACCCGATTTCTACAGAAAGTCTGTGTCACATTTCATTTTTCCTTGAAATCACTGCCCCCGTCACGTCTTATGCGAGAGCGAGTAAATAACTGATTTTCTCAAGAGGGTCGGCCGATTCGGAGAACCCTTTCAGTAAGTGGCTGTGACGTGAGTTGGCAGAGCCACTTTCGGAATGCACGAAGTCCATCTTCTCGGGGGCTAATAAATAAAAGTCGCATGCACTTCCTGGTCGGATGGATGCCCTGCCTGTGCCGGCGCCGCCGAGAGCCTCTGCTCTCTCTCTCATATTGATTGTGAAACCAAGTGAGGCAGCCAGCGCCGTGCGAGAGCACGAGAGATGAATTTGTGGCACGGTGTCTGTGGTGCAGCCTCTCTTCGGATACAACCCTTGCTTGCTCGCTCGCCACCCTCTTGAGTGTTCTCTCTCCGCCACATCCTCCGCGCTCTTTCTCCCTTTTGCGACGCAAGAACCCGATTCAATAATAAGGTCGAAGCGCAAATCAATTTTTCTCGGAAGCGCGCCGATTTTGTTTGGTGCGTGTTTTTTCTAGCGAACGGGAAATTCGGTGATCCCTTGATGCTTTGACGAGATGCTCTCCCATAAGAAGCAAAAGTTTTTCCTCTTTCACTCAAACGAGCTTGGGAATCAATTTTTCCATTTATAAACCACTTCCCTGCCTTCCTTAAAAAGCAAAATAGAAAATTTGAGAAAGGGAAATAAAGCTCTTTGATGCATATGTGGATGAAATATACATAATTGGAGTCGCGCAAAAGTAGATTATTTGCTAAATCTCCTTTAGTTACAATTGTGTTTATTAATGTACCACCGGGCATTCTCTGCCCAAATACATCATCCATACATTCAATATTATAAATTTACACACAAAGTAGACCAATTAAAATGGAATCTGTTATTTTTTTCTAAAATATAAGGTTTTAATATTATACAATCCCATACCTTTAATTGTTTAGTTGCAAATTGTGTTTATTGATCTATCACAAAGGCAATTGCTGCCCATAACGGGATACATCATTTATACATTCAAAATTATACAAGTTAATATAATGAGAGAAAAGATGATAATTTTACATACAAATTTTTACAATAACAAAATACAAAACAAAAAGAAAAATTAACAGTAATAAAGTTCTTTGGACATTTTTTTTTCATTTTTCTGGATGCTGAAAGCTTGCATTTAAATGACTGCCTGATACTTCCGAATGCCGCTTTCTTTGTTCTTTTTTTGCTCTTAATCCTGGCAAAAAACTGCAGCTCAAATTGTTTATTACTATCTTCCTGTCTGTCAAGCATATAAATTAATTTTGTGTAAATTTTGACTAATATGGCAAAAATTGTAATGTATAATTAATTAATTAAAATATTATTTCAGATTCAGAATTAACTTACTTTTCATTTTTATAACGCTTAATACAATTAAATTTAACCGGAAAAATTCACCAATTACAAGAAGTGATTTTTTTTCATGTATTCAGAATATCACCACCTTCACCTAAACATTAGAAAGAAAAGGTATTTGAAGTCAATGTATTATATAATTTTGTTAAAAACACAACTTAAATAAAATAGAATATTCAATCATCATAAAATAAATTAATTTAAAAGCAAAATATATCATTTTATGTAATTTCGACTTTCTTTTTCGTTTATTTTCTATATTTGCATAATTTTTGCATGCTAATTAGCTTTTTGGGTTATCTCCCCGCATTTGACTTTTGCATAAATTAGACTTCTATTTATTTCCGAATTGTTGACAAATGTATCCATTTAGATGATTTCATAGATGACATAATATTCTAACAATAACCGAACATCGACGGAATTCGTGATTTTATATTTTGGCACCGGAGCGAAATTGATTTGCGCTGAAAGAACGCCTCGCGCGCGTCTATGCAGATGATTGACTGGCTCTTCCGAAACGACACACACCGTATAATAGGCATCATCCGACCAGAGATCAATGGATTGGCAATTTTCCTAGCACAAAGTGTGCCAGAAATTGGATTTTCCGGGAGCTGCCTGCGCCCTTTGCTCGTCGCTGCGGGGTCTTTTTCGTCGGAGTAAAACATCAGCGAGATCAGGGGTCGCTGCGCTGTGAACAAGAAGTCTCTGCACAAAAAATTCGGCCACATTTATTCTCGTTTGCTCGAATCCCTGCGAGGGAAAAGATAATAAAAATAATCTCGCCTACTCCCCCCGCAACCCCTTGGCCGTCCTCTCTTGACGAGTTGTGTGACCGACCACAATGGCGTACACCCGCCACAAGGACTTTTATATGTACATGTGTGTCTGTGATTGTCTTCGTGCACATGGAAATGTCCCAAAGGACGAGATTCGTTCCAGAAAATGAGAATGCTGCCCACATTTTCCTTCTTTCTTTAATATTTCATCCAACGGCTCTCTCAAGATGTGTAAAAATTGTATTCACGAACAAAGCCTAAAAGAAATAAGGATTTCTTTATACAGATCCCTAATTATAATTTTTTTATTATTATTGTTTTTTAATTTAAAAACAAAATCGCAAAAATTATTGGGGTTATTATAAATTATAATTTATAATGCAAGAACAACATGGAAAAATACATTTTTATTTTACGTTTTCAAGATTAATTTCCTCACTTTGTCATTTTTTTAGTTATTAGACTTTTCCTTAATACAATGAACTTGAGAAAAGTGAAAATAATTCATGTACTTGTAGATTTTCACGCCTGCCAGGAAGTCTTTTGACAATGTTTTGTTGTTTGTTTTCAAAAACAAGCGTGCTTTTTTATAGGGGAAAAAAGTGCTTTGCTTTCCTACTCAGCGTAATTACACCACCACGCTCATTTTCAAGTGATATGAAGCGGATAGCGCGAGATTGAAAGCCATGTTTACAAACATAAAAAAAGATTATTTCTGCCCAATGCATGTAGACGGTGGGAAAGTATCTAAAATACTGCCGGCTTTATTTGAAAAGAAACATGTGTTGCCAACGAATCATCCAACATATACAAAATGAGGCAATTTTTAAGCATTATCACATTTTGGAATGGAAAAATTTTATATCAGGTATAAAATGTTTTGCTCTTCAAAAGCAATCCAACTTTCGAATTCCATACTTTGAAATAACACACGCATTTATATCTCTCATTAGCGAGGTAAGCTTACTTGACACAAACATTTCTGCGCAAGTATTTCCACAATGTTCTGCGTCTCTGTGGGGAAAATGCATCTAACCCCGGTTTTCATAATTTCATGCGTGAATTTTTAATTGTAGAGGATGTAACATCGTCTCTCTCTCTCTGTGTGAAGTGTGACACAATTACGGTTCCCTAACTTCAGAAAAAGAAAAATTCAAAAATTGTCCGCAGTGTCCAGAAACTCACCGTATTTGTTGCAATTTTTAATCTCATGATTTATAAGAACTTAGAGATTATAGAAATAATTTTTTTTTCATTTTTTTACCTTTTCTTTAGAAATTCCCAATTCTGACGATGCGAGAAAGTTTCGTCCTTTCCTCATCGATCAATGAAGTTGTTTGCGATGGCCGTCAGAAGTTTGGCCATTTTTCTCAATTTGATGCGGCCTTATCAATTGATATGACTCCGGTCTAGAGAGGATTCCCCGATGGACGCGCTCATTGATTACAGGCCATTAGCGTAATAACAACAAGATATATATTTATGTATGCATTTGGCGACGGTTTGGGTGCGCGGCGACAATAATAACTGTAATGATAGCGTCACAAGCACGACGAGCCACCAACCGCATTTATGTTATTGATCTTTGTGGCCGGCACGCTGCTCTAGTCAGCGGCAGAGAGAGAGAGAGACCGCGAGATAAATCACTAAAATAAGGCCAGCTCAGCAGCAATGCACGGACCTTTATTATTACAGCAAGAGGGATGCTCTTTCATGTCGCCGTAATGATCAGGGGTCTCTTGATCGACGATAGCAGACCGACCGACCGACCCTCCGTTATGCAAAACACGATTTGCATGCCAATTAATTGCCATGTACGATCGTATTCAAATGCACACATATAGTTTGCAATCAGCAACGAGTTAAATGTTGCGTATGTGTGGAAATGTACACATTTTCCCTTTTCCGAATGGACATGAAAGATAAAACCTCCTCATTCGCGATAAGCAGCTTAATGGCAGAGGTCGTGATAGTGAACCTTTGATGTTGTTTTCGTTAAAAGTGAGTCTTTTTTTATCATGTTGGTACAAATAAAGTCGATTCAAGCGATCCAAAGCCAGAACGTAGTGGCAAAAAAAATCCAAAAACGTGTCTAAAAACATGAATTTTTGTTTCTGATGATTTTGAAATTTAATAGTAGTGAATAAAATCAATCAGATTTTCATAATTCAATTAAAAAAAACAAAAAAAAAACATGAATCTCAAATCTAATAAAAGCTATTTTATAGTTTCATTTGATGGATCTCTTACTTTGAGATGTTAAAATATATTAAAACAAGCTCGAAAATTAGTATTTGAAGCAAATATTGTGACTTCAAATAAAAATACATACTCAATAAAAATAACTTAATTCAAGATAAAGATAAATCCTGCATTTTTAATAGATTTTTTTGTATGAAAAAAATATATATGTATTGTTGCAAAACGTAACTAAATATCATATTTATGGATCGAATTTTTACAACTTTATTGCATTTTCAAACTTTTGGAAACATTCATTTTAAGAAAAAACTGGTTCTTTGAACCACTTTATCAATTTTAATGAAAGATTTTAAATTTTTTGAATCTTGAAACTTGGAAAACGCCGCCGAATATTAAAAACTATTGCTTATTAATCGCATTTAAAAAAAATCTGAATTCCATAATTCCCAATGAGATTGAAAAATAAAAAGACATACCTGTGGGGTTTACGCTGGTTTAATTTTTGAATTTTTTTTAAAGAAAGGATACTTCCACTCAACGATGTCGATGCACAGCTTCCTCATGGGGTTGTTGAGGCCGAGGCAGAAGAGGGCCCGTTGGGGTCGGTCCGGGGGCGGCTTTCCGCCCCGCCTCGGTGGCCGGCGCGGCTCCTTCTTGGGGGCGGCCGGCGCCGCGGCGGCCGCGGCCGCCGCATCGCCCTCGCCGGGGGCCCCACCCGAGTCGGCGGGGGCGGGGGGCGCCTCGGTGCTCATGCTTGTGATGCTAAGGGCAGCTTGCCATGCGGGCGACAACGGCTTGTCGGTGTGGAATGCTGCGGGGGCGAGTCTGCTGCTGCACGAGGGGCGTTTGCTGCAGGACGCCTCATTCTCGCCACCTGCCAAAGGTCAGAAGAAACCAGGGGTGAGAAATTGTGTGGAGAATTATTAAAGCTGGAGAGAGAAATGCAAATTTGTGCGGCTTGCAATAGATATACAGAGTTGTACAAACACGGTGGCATCAAACTACTGCAACTAAACAAAAGTGACAGTTTTTGTTGACGTCGCTTCAATTTTAAATAACACTCGCAACTGGCATTTTATTACACATCATTTTATTTAGTATCAAATGTGACAAAGAGGGAAACAATTCAGAGCATTTCAAGTTGATGCCATCAGCACTACTAAAAAATATTGGCTATAATATAACCTAAACCGTGTTCAAAATGGCAAAAATCAATACAACAGAACCGAACCAAGTTTAACGCAAAAGTAATTTAAAGCTTTTGGGTCAGAAATCTCATATTTTAATTCCAAAGCAATTATTTCAAAATTTTTATGGAAATCTTTTGAAATATAAATGAAATTAAAAATTAAAATCAGACTCTTTTGCACAAATTTGAAATGTTTTCACTTGTTTGTCCTTAATTATTATATCAAATGTAATCAGGCACACATAACATAGGAAATAAAATATTTTATCATTTATCTCAGTGTTTCCTGTCATTTTTTGAACTAATTTCCAAGAAATGATGGTTTTAAATATTTAATGTGTGTGGCAATTACTTTTCGATTGACGTGGGAGACGAATCGATAAAATCTGTCTGCCGTGTTTGTCCACGTCAGAATGGCAAAATATGCTGCTGGCCAAGGGCGTGCGTATACAATGGCCATTTCATTCAGGCTCGCCAACCGCCTCTCTTTTGCTATTTTTCCCCAAATAGAAAAAAGAACCCTTGAAAATTCCTCCTTTCATCCGTGGCACGAATTATTCAACGAACAATTCAAACTTCAACAAGTCTCTTTCCGCGAACTTCGCATCGACTGCTGGCAATGAATAGTTTATGTGTTTAGTGCGCGTGCAAATAATGCCGCGGTGCGTGGCGTGCGCCGGGCAATTCGAGCTATTATAGCTGCAGGTGATCGGCGGCGCAAAACACGTTTGTGTGCGCGCGTCAGGTGCGCCTTTTCAATTATTCAGCGGTCGTTGTTTTGCAACGAGCAGCGCCACGCAACAACGCACCCCCATCTTGGTAGACTTTGTCAGCAACTTGATCACTTTTAATTTGTAAAAGGAGATTTCTTATAAGACTGAGTACAAATTAGGCTCATTAATTCTTTATTTCATTAAAAAGTTCGAGTTAAGCTTCAACAGGCAAAATGAGAAAGGTTTTGGAAATTAGATTTTCTTTCCTTCCCTTTTATTTTATTATTTTCTCTATAATTAACAAGCTTAGGGTATCTATATGAGGCAAAAAAATTAGTAAACCGTTTCCCATTAGGTCAATCAGGTCAATGTAGATTTTGATGTTGAGCTACCTATTGATTTTATTTAAACTAAATTAATTGGGGTGGTATGAATTTGGTTTGGTGAGATTTGTATTAATTTTAATGTGGCCTATTTTGTGAAAAAAATTATTTTAAAACATTCTCATAAGTAACATGTTGATTTTCCAAAATTCAGTTTTCACTCTATGAATTAATTTTTTTATGATGTACAGATAATAATCATCAAAAATAGCTCAGTCAGGCCATTTTTAGCAGCAGCTTCCTTAAAATTTTTTTTTTCTTTATTGTTTTGAAGATTTTGCAATAAAAATAAAAATATTTTAAAGTTGGTCTTCCATTACAAATAAACTTTGATAATTTCCTAAATTTAAAAAAATCGAATATTTAGAAATATTAATTATAGAAAGTATTAAATAAAGTGTCCAAAAAGAGGTAGGCAATCTGTCATACGCTTAAGCTTTGTAGCGAATTGCCCAACCTCTCCGTGTGCAGGCAAGACGGAATGATTTACAATGCAGATTAGATTAGGGACTTGTTGCAGTGAACGTGTTTCAGTCAGTCCCTACTTGATTTATTCACACGGGTCTCATGCATCATTCATTCTCCCGTCCAATTTTTCAGAAGGTATGTTCAGAACAGTTTTTAAGCTAAAAGCGCCCCTTTTTCCTTCAAATGGATTTTATTATGAAATCTCAACAAATTAAAAAACTTTTTAATGAAGCATCTTTATATGGCAGGGAAAGAAAGAAATAATTTTGCCTGGAATGGAGCCAAAATGAGGCTGGTGCGAAAACAAGCAAATCACGTCGTAAGCAAATTTTTTTACGGCCAATGCTGCCAGAAAAGTAACGGTTTTGAAATTGGCTTTCTCAGCCTTTTCCCGGCGACCAGGGTGTCGGATTTTTGCGGGTGCGCAACCTCAAGAGTCTTTTAAAAAAATGTGTTCTCGGCAGCAAACGCGCGTCGTCGGCATTTCAGGAGGGAACCATAAACGCGTGCGAGAAAGATGGAAGAAAGAGCGGCCGTAATAAAACTCACTCTCTCACTAGCGTGTATGTATGTGTGCGTATTTTTAGAACGACGTGTATACGAGTGATCCACTTTCTAAGAAAGCCGCGCACCGAGCAGCGTATCCACCACGCGGCTGTCTTTCGCCCTCCCTTCTTCTGTCACTTGATAACTGCCACAGCTTTACGAGAATTAGACTGCCGGTTAATGAGACTCTTCGCTGCTCTTTGAATTTTAATTAATTTCCCATAGTAAGACACTCATTTTCTTGCTTCTTCGTAAAATATTTAATGAGATATGCAAATTGGTCAATTAGGGATCCTTTTTACACAGATTTTTTTCCAACTATATCAAGAAATGTGTTTGTTTTAGAAAAAGGTTTCGATCTTGATAAATTTTCTAAAAGTTGCCAAAATACAATAACAATAACAACTGATAACCAATTATTGCAATATTTGCAAATAAAACTGCCACTTTTCCAATAAAATTGTATTCTTTTAAGAGAAATCATAGCTTGTATTTTGTATTTAAGTTTTATACTTTTAAAATTCAAATATACCACAAGTTAAAATGGTCAAAAAAACTTAAATAAATGTCCTTTATAGATACAGAAATTAATTTCTTATTTATTTTGATTTTAAAATTAAAATATTTTCCTTTTGAATAATTACAACATAAATAATCATTATTTAATTTTTGAACGCTCAAAAACTTGAGAGTTTATCAATCATATATTATGCTTAAAACTAAAAGTTATTTTTTATACTTCATATAAAAAAAATTTTTGAAAAGGAGAAAATGCAGCTATTGCAGCTTCATTCAACAAATTCTAACTAAATATATTTTGTAAGTGGCCAATTTTCAAACTCATTTTTTTTCAACCTATGAGAAATCCAAATTTTATCTTTGAAAGTAAAAAATAATTTGATAAACAGATGATAACAAAGGCTTTTGTTTTTCTTCTGAAAATTACAATCACTTCATCAGTGCAATTAAAATAGTTCTGAATGAAAATCTAATCCATTGCTTTTTTTTAATAATTTGAGTGGAAAAATTGCCTACAGTAAAATATTACATACATCATCTCTCATCCTAAATGATTGCTGTGAGCGAGAATAGAGAATTTTTTATGTTTATTTCCATAAATAAATCCACAAATTAAACCGTGGAAAACATAATGATTAATTTATCAATTTAAATTCTGCAAGAAATTAAAATCATTGTACAAACGGTTTAAATTAAATTCTCATGATACCTAAAAACTGTTGCAAATCAAACTCTAGTTATTTCCATGTATTTAATCTTACAATTAGGAAAGAAATATTTTGTTGATAATGTTTTTTTTTTATAAAACTGGAGTTTGACTTCACATTGCGAACATTTTTGCACATTATTAAAAACCACCACACTTCCCAAAAGACCTTATTGAATGGCATAAACCAGTAATTCCAATTTAGTACGCAAATTTCCATTACACGGCCGTGACGAAAATTATTCAAATCAACGGAAAACCGCGAACTGGCGCAGCGACCAAACGCGCCGGTCGGCCCAGTTCATTTTCAGCCGTCGCGGTCAAGTTTTCTGAACCGGGTCCACCCAATTAATTTGCGGCCGAATGCAAATATATCTGGCCGCGTGGGAGAAACGCGAAAACACAACGCTTCCCGTGGGAGACGCGGCTCGTTGAATGTTTGATAATATTCTAAACGAATTCCACGCTGCCGCTCTCTCGCTACCCTTTCTGTAAATATTTACACAATCTGCTCATCTATGAAATGATTGCAGCGCGCCGAGACCCCCGCAGGCCGTTTGGCGATTTTTGGATTTCCGAGTGGCGATTCCGCCGCAGTCTAAATTATCAGTAATGATTTTTTTGGGGTGCACAGTTTACTTTTTGTAAAAAACTTATTAAATCCAAAATATTTACAGCTCTTTCTCTCTCTTAAATTTTCACAGAAAGCATGAAAGATTAATTTGCTGCATTTTATTTTAAACAGGAATCCAAATATTGATTTAATTATAGTATTTATTTCTTATTTCCTTTTTATTAATCTTATTCTTTACTTTTGTGTTTTCGTCAAAAAATTGCACATAATATTTACAAATTAATACTTTTATGCTTTTTCATCCTCCAATTTTCGAGAACAAGGTAAAATTACAAGGCCATAAGCTAAGTTTGCAACGTAAATTTGTATAGATTGCCATAGCCCTCTGGACTTTTGTAACAAGAATAATGGTCTTGGCGCGGCAACTTAATTTGGGGCCTCCAAGTTCAACGATTCGGCAACAAACGGTGAGTCATTCTCTCGCTCGCCTTGTGGCGCGGCCACTATATGGCTCATGAGAGAGGATGAAGTTTCGCTTTCCTAAGATTAGGCCTCGCAAAGAAGTCTCCTTCGAGATAACTCTGAGCTTAGTTCTAGTAATGGAAAATTTCCAAAGACGGTTCTAAAAATAACGAAAATAAAATTATTTATTACTTACAGATAATTTAATTTTAAATCTACTGAGTAATAAAAATTAGTAAAAACTAAAAAGGCAAATAATAAAACTAAAAGGCTTAAATAAATGTTTCTTTTGCAATGAAATTTTCTGATTGGAA